CCAGTTACAAGTTATTGCTCAGTAACCATGGTAACCACCCAGTTACAAGTTATTGCTCAGTAACCATGGTAACCACCCAGTTACAAGTTATTGCTCAGTAACCATGGTAACCACCCAGTTACAAGTTATTGCTCAGTAACCATGGTAACCACCCAGTTACAAGTTCTTGCTCAGTAACCATGGTAACCACCCAGTTACAAGTTATTGCTCAGTAACCATGGTAACCACCCAGTTACAAGTTATTGCTCAGTAACCATGGTAACCACCCAGTTACAAGTTATTGCTCAGTAACCATGGTAACCACCCAGTTACAAGTTATTGCTCAGTAACCATGGTAACCACCCAGTTACAAGTTATTGCTCAGTAACCATGGTAACCACCCAGTTACAAGTTATTGCTCAGTAACCATGGTCGGGCATCTATTTATAAACATTAGAATTATTGTTTTGCAACTTTACTGTGCACAGCTCTTTGTTTACTTTGTGCACAGTACTTTTGTTGACGTTATAAATATAAGCTGTTTACAAACATTTAACCGTTATAAGTACACAACTTGTCAAAGTGTTGTCACTTATCCTCAAAGAAATTGTGACCTCTAGTGTGACCCTTTGCTACCTGTCAACTATTTAACACGGTGAGTAGTCTGTAGGTGTGTTGTGTGTTGTTATAGTAGATCAGGTAAAAGTGCCACCAGATTCATGGCTTTGAGAGCTGGTGGCAAATTCATCTTGCACGATTTGTGAATTTGACGCAATTTGTGACTTGATACTCGGCCGTTTATCAAGAATCTTTCTTTCTTCATAACTAAAACAAGTTTTCGCTACCTCTCAGCCAGTTTTCAAGTCCATCACTAACATATTTATCAAGATAACCATTTTTACGATGTCCCTTATTTCGGAACAGTTTTTCCATTTTTTTTCTATATTTCTAATTTTTATTTAACATAACTTTGCACGTTTAAAGTACTTCTATAAATATCGACAATAAACGATTCTACTTAAGCCATAAATAATTAAGGTCTTAGAAATTCATATAGTTGATAGTTGCTAAAAAGTACTAAAGTATTAAACTTCGGTGGTAAACTTAATACTGGTATGCAATTCAAACATCGCTCATACAGTAAAACCCCGATTTACCGCGGAAAAGAAACAGCCGCAGTAAATCGGGGTTTTGTTTGTGTACATTATGTATGTCAAGCCCCATTTGGAAATGGCCGCGGTATATCGTGGTTTGCAGTAATACCTAGCGGAATATCGGGGCGCGGTAAATCGGAGTTTTACCGTACTTCCTTAAATGTGAATAATTGTTTTCTTGTGTTTGACTAGAGTCATACATTTTTAATTAAAGTACAGACCAGGGTGTCTATCGAGAATTCTTCTAAGAGATAAAATATTCTATATAAATATACCGGGCAACTCTAGGGAAACTAAATATGTCCCGGTAAACGTACAAATAATATGAGGTATGTAAATTGCATACAGTATATTATTGATGATGACTTTGAAATGCTTTTAAGCATTAAAAACTTGGGCTCAACACTTAACAGCTTCAGCCTGTCATTTCTCATCTTGGTGTAAATACTTCTGTATAAAATATTCAATCGTACCTTTGTTTTTAGCAAATCTTCGTTGGAGACCGGAGAGTTGAATAAAGTGCACAAAAATGTAATACTCATCATCTTAAAGCCCTCATGGAGATAGCTTCTCATTAAAAATTTCTTTAAATCTTACTACATGTCGCAGTATAAAATTAAAAGTTTTGCTCGAATCGTCATTCTATTCTATTCGATATGTAGCAAGTTTCTCAGTCATTAGAGTTCAATCACACCAGAGTCAAGCGAAGTTGTAAAATGTAATCTCTTTATCGAGTTAGTTGCAACGATTTGCAACTCATTTACTGCAGTATTGTAGAGTAGTATCAAGTGTTACCGAAGTTACACTACTAGTTACCATAGTATTATAGAGTAGTAGAGCCAGCTGTCATTATTACACCAACAATTTCAAGAATATTATGCCGACCTATTTGCTTAGCCTCTGTTGTAGATTATTATGCCGACCTATTTGCTTAGCGTCTGTAAATTTTGATTTGTGTAACCAGACTTCCTATACCGCGTCCAAGTTTTGCTCCATTACGTTTCAACCTAGTTTACTGTTACCATAGTTACACTACTAGTTACCATAGTTACACTACTAGTTATTATAGTTACACTACCAGTCACAGTCAAGTGTTACCTGTGAGCACAATTATTCACTTAGTTGAAGCTTGGTATGTGTACCATGTGTACTGTGTACCTACCATGCAGGCTGGCACTTAATTAGCACACATTCCACAAGCACAGTGAGTAGCACACACAGTCACGCATCAAGCTGTTAGTCAATTAGATATTGTTTAATTAGATAATTAGGCATTGTCCATTGAGTGACCTACGTTTTATACATGTTATAGTCAGCTGTCATCAGCTTTATGTTGTCATGTAAGATCTGTGATGCGAACAGTTCTCCGACTAATTTCACTGTGTTTCTACTAGAGTACTTTGTTAAGCGCTGTACTTTTGAGCTCATGTTACTACTGTAGTAGTAGTAGGTTGAATGTGATATTTTAGTAGCAGTGCTGTGAGTTTATTGTTTTTGTGTGAGGGATAGTCTCTGTGACAACATGCAGCAGAGTAAAGCAGTAACCATAGTAACAACTAGTGTAACAACTAGTGACAACATGGGATCTAGAAAAAAGTAAGTTTAAACTTTGCATAATAGTAATGATGTTGCGAAATGATTCAGTCTTTATATGTAATAGGACACACATTCTTTGTGAACATTTTTTTTTCCCGAAAGTTTGGTTTTGCTGGAATTGACTGTTTTTCCGATTCATTACCCATATTAATACACAGTGACCAAGATATTTCCGTAAGTCCAAAAGGCTCAATAGTCTTCCAATTGGGATCTCTTGTAAAATTGCATGGACTTGTTCTGAGATCAATAATTAATTTACCAGATATGCAAACTGTAATGACCATTCTTTGATATTAAAATCGTAAACACTCAGAAACCATGTTTTTGTTACCCAGCATCAGCAGCAATCAGCATGCACAACTTTAAAACCGTCTGACATAACTAATTATTCGCACGATCGCCAAATTGCCTACGTAAACTTCTGACAAGTGGTGCCAGTGCCAACTTCTAACAGTTCCTTTCTAAGTTTCTACAACCCGACAGACTTATAACGTCATCCCTATCACAGTTCAGAATTCTGTCTGCACTCCAAAGTTATGCACTATAATCTGCACCTCCAACGTCATTCACTCTGCACAGCAATGAGCAATATAATTATTGCTCTGACTATGCTATGACTCTGACTCTGACTCTGACTCTGACTCTGACTCTGACTCTGACTCTGACTCTGACTCTGACTCTGACTCTGACTCTGACTCTGACTCTGACTCTGACTCTGACTCTGACTCTGACTCTGACTCTGACTCTGCTCTGACTCTGACTCTGACTCTGACTCTGACTCTGACTCTGACTCTGACTCTGACTCTGACTCTGACTCTGACTCTGCCTCACATTATAATGGTTCTCACAAGATGTCTCCACCTAGGTAGGTAGGTGAGTTAGGTGGACTACTACTAGTAGTAACTCTTAACCTAATACATTTAAATTTCACTATACAGATGATGAGACAGGGCCCAGGTCGAATTAGGGAAATTACTTTTGAACGAGGTGGAATTAACACCTCATTAAATGCATTAGAGCTGGGACCTGCCCGAGTTAGAGCTGCGACCTGCCCGTAAGCTACTAACCTAGCGGGGGTAACACACATATTTGGGGATCTGCTTACAGTTTAGCTGTTTACACCTGTGCTGATGTTGCTTTAGACAACGTATATATTGGATATTTGTAGTTTTTATGCGAGTGGGGTTATTTTGGCTCGATCTTAGAGGTAGATCATCGTTTATGCTATCTAGTTTTTGTTTTAGTTTATCCGGTGAAATCATGTCTGATGCAAAGCAATTTCTGGTGGAAAATAAAAGAAGAAGGTAAGTTAGTCAGGTTTGAAACTGATGGTTCTATAATAGTTACCATAGTTACCATAGTTACCATAATAGCATATTGTTGTTGTCATTAACTGAGGTTTTATGTGGCTTTAGCAATATTATTGCTAAAGCCACATAAAACCTCAGTTAATGACAACAACAATTTTGCCAGTCACCCTATGGACCCTAAATTCTCATGTCCAAAAACTTACTTCTAGAAGATTCCAGGCCATACCTCCAACATTTATCGCAACATCTGCCCGCATATATGAAGAAATACTAGCATTGCTTGCGGAGTAAGAAATCATAAATATCTACAACAGCTAGCCTGACAAGTTCCCTTACTGTAACAGTAACAAACAAGTGTTACCATAGTTACACTACCAGTAACAAACAAGTGTTACCATAGTTACACTACCAGTAACAAACAAGTGACAGTTTTTCCTTAGAAACACCTGCACGCCCCTCCTACATAACCTGTTAAAAGCTAAGAGAGCTGTCGCAACATGTATTACTCCGCAAGCAATGCTAGTATTATTAAGCGCACACAACGATAATATGCGGACCAGCTGTGCAGTGTGCACCAGCTGTGCATCAGTGGTCCACCTCACAGATTACTAATGTAACTCCAGTACGCCTCCCAGTACGCCTCCTACTACAGACCACCTAATCAGTAGGCCTCCTGCTTAATGTTCAGCCATGAAACTATTTCTTTTATTTTTCTGAATAAAGGGTCCTAGTTTGCAGTCTAGTGGAACACTGGTTTATATATAGTAGTGTGAACACTGGTTTGTTTGTTTGTGGTGTTGCTCCAGTTGTTTTTGATCAGCGAGGAAATTGATTGTTTGTTAAGAAATGTGGTTGAAAAAGCTTAAAACGTTAACGAAGTAAGATGCTGTTTTATACTATGTAAAATGTATGCTGTTTGGATCTTTAGAACATTGACAGCAAAAAATTTTAAACTACATTGTTGATAAGGGGAAGCTATCATTTGATTAAGAATAAGAAAATAAAACTGCCGAAAAACCTTAACAGTAACAATAAAATCTCAAAATCACAATTAAACCAGCTGTTACGGGTTTTAAAATCCCGCGAGGAATTGCAAAACTTGAAAGCTACCTTTTCTTTATAGTCCCGCGAGGAATTGCAAAACTTGAAAGGTACCTTTTCTATATAATCAACAAAACTGACAAGGCCACGGAGCGTTGCAACTTTGGTTTTTCATATCCTGTACACCCTGCTGTACGAAAACATTCATTCATATTATATTCATTTCGATTGTCTGGAATGTGTGAAGAAGAGACTTATTTGACAATGGCTAGCAGAAGAGACCTGTAATCTCCACTGGTCTCATCACTAATGTAGTCACTGAGACTCCTATCCAGCAGTCTTCCGAACTCTACTTTTATCTCCTCCAGATCTATTTCTGATCTCCACACTATGACCCGTATTAGTTCGTCATCGTCTGTCCCTACTCCCTTCATGATCTTAAAGAGCGCCTCAGCAAAGCACGCCGTGGGTCTCCTGATCAGGTTAACGATCTGCAGATATATCTCCTGATGTTCCCCTATCATCTCTGATCGTATGCTCTCCCCAATATCCTCGTACGCTTCAACCCGGTACTCCGCGAACACCAACTTCAAGTGCTCGTAACCCCGGGAAGCCAGCAGAGCGTTGAAAACAGGATCCTCCGTGCCGAACCTGTTAGGTCCAGCTTCTGAGAGGTCTTTAGCGTCTTGTTCAGCTAGGGCTGGGTCCGGTATCTCGCTCTCGTTTCTGCTCCCTTGCAGAATTGCTAGAACCAACCGTTTGAAACCGCTGCTCACGTTTAACATACCGCCAAGGTCCCTTTCGATTGAAACGTTGAATTTTTGGATGTAGAATATTTTCAGTTCGTTAAGGCTCCTATTATCCATGCCAATTAATACCTCTATAAGTGAGTGAGGCATACTCGTTTTTATGGCTCGGTGAGCTTCTTTAGCCAGCAGCTGGGGTACTGGCAGGATTAAACTTTTTACCAGTTTTAAGAAATGGGAGCTGAGCTCCGATTTCAGTTCCGTTTTGAGGGATTTGCCGTACATTTTCTGAAATTTAATGTGATCGCCATTGTTGTTATTTGTAAAGATGAAATACCATTACATTAAAATGAGACGACTAAAATCACTGTAAAATTCTCGTATTTATATGCCAAAGTAATAAAATGACAATGTGGATAAGAAAACGTTACCTTGAATTTGGTACAAATATCTAATCTCTGTTCAACTGTCCGGTTACTCAGTATCTTAATAATTGCAGCCTCGTCTGTTCCAATCCCCTTCATTGCTTTTTTGAGTTCTCGGCTGTCATTTTCAGCATTGCAGCTCTCATCCAAAACAATTGTCCCTGTCATTACCTCTAATATGAAATGGTTTTTACTTATTATTGATCAAGGGCACTGCAATGATAACTGTCATTACCTGGGCTCTAATATGAAATGGTTTTTACTTATTATTGATCAAGGGCACTGCAATGATAACTGTCATTACCTGGGCTCTAATATGAAATGGTTTTTACTTATTATTGATCAAGGGCACTGCAATTATAACTGACCACTTAGAAGAGCGGTCATCAAAGACCAGTGACAACCATAGACCAAACCAAATGTTAATCAGTGACCAAACTAAATGTTAATCAGTGACCAATAATCACTGGTTAGTTGTAACCAATCACCAGTATACACTAGATTGTGGTCACTTATAATAGTGGTCAGGGACAAATCGTAATCAGTGACCCAGACAGTAGTGTTTAACTGTTGTCAACAATAATCAGTGATCTATACAGTTACCATTGGTTACCAGTTACCATTGGTTACCAGTTACCATTGGTTACCAGTTACCATTGGTTACCAGTTACCATTGGTTACCAGTTACCATTGGTTACCAGTTACCATTGGTTACTAGTTACCAATGCCATTAGTTACCAGTTATCATTGGTTACCAGTTACCAATACCATTGGTTACCAGTTACCATTTTTTACCAGTTACCAAATTGGTTTCTGAATGGTTTTGATTTCAGACTAAAAATCAAATTTTTCTCGATATATTTAAACAAGTGACAGGTTTAACAAGCTTCAAACTCAAAATTACCCGTTCGGACAAAATATTACTCCTCAACAACAGTCTATAGTTCACACGACGGCACAGTTACTATGGTTACCAGTTACCATAGTATAAGTTCACACGACGACACCTAATAAAGTAATAACAACCGACTAGAACCAAAAGAAGGAATTAAATCCCAATTATCTCCGACTACAACATAACAATCAAACTCTTTCAGGAGACCAATGGCACTGAACAGGAAGTCCTCTATCCTGTGCCAGCTGTACGAGAAAAAGCACTTCACCAGCAAAGAATTCAGGAGACTCTGTGAGTCATTTTGCGAAATTTTTTATCAATTTCCGGGAAACTTGGTGATAAGACCAAATGCAGAACTGAGTCTATCGAACTAAATCAACTATAAATAAACTAGTCCTGCATGGGCCAGGTTAACCAGGGTAACCAGGGTAACCAGGGTAACCAGGGTAACCAGGGTAACCAGGGTAACCAGGTTAACGGCCCATAGCCAGGTACCCAAAATCCTAATTAACTCGTGAGGATAAAAAGTTAACAATAGATAACAATATAAGAAGATTAGTACAAAAAGATCAAACCAGGTTGTTCATTCTGCTAGTATTTGAAAGTTTGTACACTGACTCTTTGAGTATTATACAGCGCTTATATATAGGCTTGGTAATGTAGTGATGTGTTATGTTGTGGTGAGTAGATATGGTATAATATGACGATCTTGAATGAAAAGGTGTAATGAACGTTCAAAAGATCCAATTTATTTGAATTACCTGACGTGCACAGAAGATTGTAGTGGAGGAATTTATGCGGAGGTATTGGATGCTGTGACGTATTACCTGACGTGCACAGTAGATTGTAGTGGAGGAATTTATGCGGAGGTATTGGATGCTGTGACGTATTACCTGACGTGCACAGTAGATTGTAGTGGAGGAATTTATGCGGAGGTATTGGATGCTGTGACGTATTACCTGACGTGCACAGTAGATTGTAGTGGAGGAATTTATGCGGAGGTATTGGATGCTGTGACGTATTACCTGACGTGCACAGTAGATTGTAGTGGAGGAATTTATGCGGAGGTATTGGATGCTGTGACGTATTACCTGACGTGCACAGTAGATTGTAGTGGAGGAATTTATGCGGAGGTATTGGATGCTGTGACGTATTACCTGACGTGCACTGTAGATTGTAGTGGAGGAATTTATGCGGAGGTATTGGATGCTGTGACGTATTACCTGACGTGCACAGTATATTGTAGTGGAGGAATTTATGCGGAGGTATTGGATGCTGTGACGTATGAGAAAATACTACAATATAATCAAGGTACGATGTTGGATACCTGAGTTCTATATCTTTCGATAGCAACTCCATCTATGTATCTGCTTAGCTTCCATCACTGATCCTGGTACTTGAGATTCCAGGTGTGGCTTTAAACAATGTTTTAAGGGCCCAACACTCAGCTCACTCAGTTGATGGTAGAACAGTGGGTCTTTGTGCGATGTTGTAGCAGGGACTCCACTTCTTGTTTTCTCTTGCTAACCAGATTGCATAGGAACATCTGAGAGCAACCAAAGCCGCCTCTTGGAACACTGCTTTCTTTACTCTCTTTGTAACACCAAAGTAGTTTAGTAGCGCTGGTAAGGTATGATGCCAGAAGCCTCTACACCCAACCTCTACCGTAAAAAGCTGAGCTTTCCACCCACTGCCATGCAGCCCAGGAATAAGCTCTCTGTTGTAACGTGCTTGTTTACGTTCTACTTGGTCACTAAAGTTACTCTCGTCACCAACTGTCAACTCTACTAATATGACCACCTTTCCTTTATCAGACCAGACTACAATATCGGGACGTTCTGCAGTTCCGTAGATGTGCTGGGGGAACTGTGCTGGGAGGTCATCTTCGTCCCAGATAATCTGCCAATCTTGGTCTTTCTCAAAAGGGCTCTCTCTTTTCATCTTCGTCTTCGGTTTTTGGTAACAGCTGCTAGATGACTTGAAGCCTGTCCAGTCCTGAACTTCAAGTTTAAAATCTTTGTTGTTGAACTTCTCGATTTGATCCAGTAGGGATTTCGCAATGACCCGCAGCACGTTGTCATGCCTCCAATTGTATCGTTTGTTGTTCAGCGAGAAGTTGCAAGCTACCAAAATGTGCTTAATGTTGCAGTGTCTCCATCCGCAAAGTGGACAGTGTCCTGTGTCAGCATAGTTCCACAGGCTCATGTTTGCAGGAGTATTTGCAACGTCATGGGTTGCATTGAGGTGGAACTTAAGAAGAGCAGGGCTCATCTTGTAGTTGTAAATAAGGTTGTTCCAACCTAGGTCTAGCTGCATGGTGTTTTCCCATGTTAAGAATTGTCCTTGAACTCCCTTGTCTACCAGTGTCAACAGGATATCCTGCTCTGAGATGTGGGATACCAGTTCTTTCAGTTTTTCCTTTCCTGACGTGCACAGTAGATTGTAGTGGAGGAATTTATGCGGAGGTATTGGATGCTGTGACGTATTACCTGACGTGCACTGTAGATTGTAGTGGAGGAATTTATGCGGAGGTATTGGATGCTGTGTTGTATTACCTGACGTGCACAGTATATTGTAGTGGAGGAATTTATGCGGAGGTATTGGATGCTGTGACGTATTACCTGACGTGCACAGTAGATTATAGTGGAGGAATTTATGCGGAGGTATTGGATGCTGTGACGTATTACCTGACGTGCACAGTAGATTGTAGTGGAGGAATTTATGCGGAGGTATTGGATGCTGTGACGTATTACCTGACGTGCACAGTAGATTGTAGTGGAGGAATTTATGCGGAGGTATTGGATGCTGTGACGTATTACCTGACGTGCACTGTAGATTGTAGTGGAGGAATTTATGCGGAGGTATTGGATGCTGTGACGTATTACCGTGGTTATGACGTCATATTAGAAAATACCGTCCAAAAATTACAGATTCTATTTTAGTTTAGACTGCGCCCTCAGATCACCCACAATTTTAGTTGTGACGCATGAAGATTCCATCGGTCGGTTGAACGATTGGTCGAAAATTCGGTCGAAGAAACGATAAAAATATACAGAACATGGTTTAATGCAAGGAATATGTTTGTTAGCTCTGCTATTAGTTACCTACCTAGTTACCATAGCAACAGTTACCTATTAGTAACCTACCTAGTTACCTATTCGTTTAGGTATTGTTATTAAACAGGAATTAAACTTTAAGCAGGAATTAAACATGAAATGACCAAGGAGAACACTAACGAACTCGTCTTGGTAATACAGCAATTCATAAAGACGATCAGAACTCTAAAAATCGAGAGAGAGCTATAAAAATAAAATCTTGAAAATTAACCGCGTTACAATTTCAGAGAAAAAAATCGAATATAATAATTTAAATACGAGTAAAAAGGTATACTCTGTAAGACAACGCTATATCGAGAGATAAAATCCATAACTTGTACTTATTAAACCTTTTGATCGACTGATGAAAACACATGTTAATTACTGATTATTCTCCTTTTCTGGATATATTATGGGTTAATACATTATATATATACATTATTATTATATCTAATTTCAGGGGACTTCTATGATAAAGACGGTAGTGGTTTTTTGGAGTACTCCGAACTTGAAAGGTTCCTAAGGTAATTGTAAAACTGAAACTTTAAATCGTTTAACAAAGAATAGGCCCTGTAATTGTTTCCATCCTACGTTTGCGTTGTACAATGATTCGGGTAAAATCCAAAAAATTTAAGTATTAAATTTCGCCCCTAAAAATCAAATAGCCTTTTTTAATCTGGCTTGATTACCTCTAAATAAGGACTGGTAAGAATGTAACCTAATGAAATCTGTCTTTGATTTCAACAAGAGACTAAGTAAAGACTTGTAGTATAGTGTAAAGACTTGCTAATAATTTGCTCAGGGATCTCACAGAGGTAACTCTTGGAGAAGACGTTGACGAAGCAGAATATGAGAAGTTCAAAACCAAGATTATGGGAATGATAGATGACAACGAGAACGGAAAGTTAGAAGCTAAAGAACTGGTTAGCTGATCTAGATAAACTTAATTAGTTTCGATCCATTTTGTAAACTTCTACTTCAGCTCACTGGGAGACTTTGGGACCGGAAACTGATCCGGCCCCCAAAGAGGGGTCAGATCACGTCACTAATTAGTGACGTATAATTAGTGATGTGATCCATGGATTGAATTTAATTGACATAGAAATGTGCTAGATCTGGGGTAGAGTTCACATGTCAATTCTGTAAACCATAGCTGTACATTAAGAAGTAAACATGATCTGACGCTCGACTCGTAGATCACATAAGGGACGGGAGCTCTTGCTAAAGGGGGGGTTTGTTCTTTCTACACGACATACCCAACTCAAATGAACTCTACCCCAGATCTAGCCCATTTCT